ACCACTTGCTCATTATATGTATACCACTTCTAGTTGAAGAGGTTTAAATAGTACAAAAAGTGCGCTCAACCCCTATGCCCAAGAAGAAGTGATACACATGAAGGTTCACCGGTTGTCCTTCAATTCGATCCTGTGTGTCGCCTTGCATGACGAAACGCCAGTGAATGCCAAGAATAGTGTGCACCTCTTTGCTGCGCTAGAGCTGGTTGATAGCATTTTTTGCATTGCTTTGTTTTGCTATGCATTTTCTTAGTTTGCAAATCACCACGGCTGTGCTAGGAAAACTGCGCCTGGTTTGTGCTAGGGGCTTTCTGTGTTGTCGCTTTGACCACATGCCGTCGATGAAAAGTATGTTTGCGTGTTTAGAGATCTTTTCTAGGACCCACAAGGGGTGGTTAATGGACAACACTTAACCTCTAAGGGGCTGTCAATAGACACCCCTTAGGGTGTCCTGGTTGTATGTTGTTTTGTGCTGTTTCGTGGTCATCATGGTGGTGCCTATCATGGTGCTCCTGTCCTTTGGGTGCTGTTTGAGACCGTGCGACGCGGACGGACCCAGGGACCGGTAGCGCTTCGATCGGCGGAACTGGACCGAGCAGAGCGCCGTTGAACGCCTGGGGTTCCATGCAGCAGATGGTGTTTTCGTATTGGCTAGATCCGCGCCAGAGTTACGCGTACGCAGGGATTGGCTTCTTGCGTTACACTTAGAGTAGGTCCTAGGTATACGACACATGTTTAGATCTGAGAAGAACTTGTTCTTACTCTACTGATGTCCTGCTCTAAGTTCTTGTATATAAGTAGCAGCTCAGCCAGAAGTTTGGATGAGTAAGAACAGTTGTTTTGCGTGAGGCTTGTCGCTATGTTCTCCAAAGATTCCTTCGCAGTGTACTACTGTACTACTTTAATCTACTTTATAATCTGATATACAAGCTTTTTCACATCAACTTCTTTAGAAGAGGCGCCAGACTCCGGCAGTTCCAGTTCGTCATGTACCAGTCTCGTGTTCGTCCGGTTTCAGGTGGACGACCTGGAGGCATTCTGGCGCCGAAACCGCAAAGCGCTCAGGAGCGAAAGCCGTGGAATGGAGCGGATCTGGCGAAAAGCACCGGAGAAAGCAACATGTTGTGGGTTTGTTTTCGCTAAAAAGTGTCCAGTTTACGTAGGGCTGGGATGTTCGACTTAGATTAAGCATACCTCCGAAGCATACGCATAGTCAAACACCCCGGCCCAGGAACGTCAAAAAAGATATTATACAAACCAAACCCGCCATAATATATAGAGCTCTTTGGCGTGGTTCGGAGGGAATTCAGGGACAAGTTCGAGAGTGATGTAAAAAGGTTCGGTCCGCAGAGCAGTCTACTGGTTCGCAAGGAGCGATCTTGCCAGTTGGTGATATTTCTCTTGGATCGCTTGGAGCTGTTTGAGGCTACAAGTTCATTGCACCCGCACCGTCGCCACTGGCATCGCCCAACCGCACTGGGACAGGCCGGCCCCGAGCCGAAGCCGACGGAGTGGCGACGGAGTGCCCCTGAAGACTCCTGGAAAGTCGTCCCGATTCGTTGGGTAGCGCACGGAGGAGCAATTTGAAGAAGTCCAAGCTGGAAGTGTTGGCCCCGGAGGCGGCTGAGGAGCCTGCAGGTGTTCGGTGTCAGTGAAGAGCTCAGGGCACCAGTTTGGTTGGTTTGTGTGGTGTTTGCTGTGTGAAGGAACAACTGTTGATGCTGAAGCATACACTCTTGCACCACTGAAGAAGCAATCAATATGGATGGTTCCAGTGTGAATACAACATTCAAACTTCAAACAAACATGTTATTTTCTCCATTGTTCACAGTTCACAGCCGCCCGAACTCTTTAGCGGAAAGCGGTTTTGACTGCCATGATGGCAACTGACATAGCATTCAATTAAGACTTAAGATGCAGATGGCGATGCTACAAGAGGTTTTAGAGACTCGTGTATTGATACCTGTGCATACCTGTGCTTAGGTGTAGAGTTGACTTAGACAGTGTGGACAGTGTGCACCATTCTATGCAATCATGTGGTTGAAATGGTGACAGAACACATAGAGATGCTTCATTCTGGAAACATATGCCATCAGCAAAATAGTGGTTTGCGGAGCAGAGAACCTTGTGTGTTCATTTGTACTTCAATATACTTCAATCTGAGATCACACTTAATAAGTATATATATATACAACTATATATACTTATGTACATATGCCGTAAGTGTTACAACTCTGCTGAAAGTTGCTGCTGCGTTTCGAGAACTGTGTACATTCCCTAATAACATGAATACCCTTGATTCTTCCAAACAGATGCTTGGTGAGGACGGGGAGAGACAGAAAGTTGGCGGGTTCATGAAAACGCCGCGCTTGAGGAGAAGCTCGACTTTCTGGATGCCGTTTTTTCAGATGCATCGGTTCGACAACAATGGCGCCGGCCACCGGAGGAAGCGGAGATCCAACTCTGGCACCTCGAGATGCACCTTCGTGGTCGCTGGTTTTGTGTGCGCGCGCGACGATGGGCTGAAATCTTGGGCACCCTAGAATCACCGAGGGTTCAAGCATTTGGGACAGGAATTCTGCAAAGCAGAGTTTACATGAGTGCCCTCCCAAAAAACGCAAAATGTGCACATGTAGTGGGTGATCCCAGGCGTCAGAATTAGCTGCACCGCCGCAACATTTCTGTTGGCTAACTGAGTTTGACATAATGTGTTTAGATGAACGATATACTTTATATATATACACACATTATATACATCATATTACGTATGTGCATCCATGATTCCATGATGGTACTTGTGTTTTGTCCTTCAGGGTCAGCAGGCAGTGGTGGCAGCATGACGTTACAGAGCATTCCAGTTTGAAGACATGTTTTTGTTTGCCTAACAGTCTTCAGAAAAGAGCTTCTGGAAGTGACAGGACAGCACCAGCCCACGACATTGTTCAATTGTTTGTTTGGTTTGTAGATCCTCGTTTTTCCCGAGCATGTGGACTGTCGAAGAGTGAGTAAAACACCACGACACTGGACACCTACAAGGTGTACAGGTGGGAGGCAAGTGGAAGGCCCGCAACTTTACAGCCTGGTGCAAGCTAGGAAGTTTGCTCAGGAGACGGGCGTGGAATACCCAAATAGTGTTTGCGGAAGCAAACGGAAGAAAACAGATGCGCAGACCGCTGCAACGCCGCAGAAGAGGCCAAAGACTGATAGCCCGCAAAGGCTGAATCAGTGCAGCAGCATGACAAAGAAGTGGCAGCACAGATGAGCCACATACTGCTGCTGAAGCAGCCCCGGGCTGACATGATCATGGATGGACAAAAATCACTTGAGAATAGAACTACCAGTGCCAGCATCAGAGGCCGCATAGGCATTGCAGTTCAGAACTTGCTCTTGGGACACGTGGAACTTACTGGATCCACGCCCTTCACAAAAGAGCAGCTGGATGCAGAACTGCCTTGGGATTGCTGCCCAGTGGGTCACATTACGTATGGAAGCGCCTCATGGTTGGCCACTCCTATGCAGAGCTCTGGTGGTCCTGTGCGGCCTGCTGGTGTGGAGGCTGTGGTGCCTGTGGAAAAGGGCGTGGAGCCTGCTGGTGTGGAGCCTGCGGTGCCTGTCCAACAGGTTGTGGACCCTGCTGCTGTGGAGGCTGCGGTGGGTGTAGGCTGTGGAGCCTGCTGCCGTGGAGCCTGCGCCTGCTGCGGAAGCTGGTGCAGAAATCTTGGGCAAAAAGGCTTCTCGCCTGCTACAACTGCATTCCCAGAAGTTTGCAAGGCTTCGCAAGATAAGATCAGGGAGGGAAGACTTCGACAGGGGCTGTTCCTGATGTGGAACCATCTTGCCTTCTATGTGGCAACGAGATCTGAACCACATCAGTACTTCTTCAAAGTGACCAGTTGACCACATGGTGCTGAAAGTCATGACTTTCTTTGTCATCATGTAACAAGCAGAACCTCCAGCATGCCCCAGTCTTGAAGGCCTCCTTTTGAAAGCACTCTGGAGGAATACATCAGTGACGGCTGCCCTCCTGCAAGCATGTCTGCACTGCAGGACAGCCACGACACTGCATCCACCGCAGAGAGTCTTACAAGAGGACAGTTCCAAGTTTTGCGCAAGGCCGTTGCAAAGACAATGATAGATGCCTGTAGAGATGAGAGCTTGTTGGAGCCTTTTGCAGAACAAGCTTTTGGAACAACGGTGGGTGCAAAGCAAAAGCAACTGCGCAGTTGGAAGAAAAGGTTGCAATAATTAGCTGCATCCTACCGCTGCCACCGATGCATTGGCCTCCAGGCGTATGAACTATCAGTTCCCAAATATCTTGGAAGGACACAATGCGACAGGCAACCCAAGGCCCAGCTGAGGGGCACCAGTCGACGGCTACACACTGCGGAGGAACGTGCGTAAGTGCAAGCGACTCCCCAACAGTCGGCATCCAAAGGGACGCCTGGAAGCGGTCGGAAGCGAGAGCTTATCAAGAATTTGCAAAGAATGATAGAAGGACATTGCGCAGAAGATGCTGGCCTGCATGATGCTGCGCACGCTCTTGAAAACAGACTGCTACAAGAGCTAGACGTATCGAACAATGGGCCCATTGCGCAAGAATATTTGACAGAGGGTATATCACACTCAACATATAGGGCTCGCAAACGTTTGAGATTGGAAGCTTGCAGCGCAGAGGTTTCGCGAGGAGGCAGACCGAGTAAGCTGCAGAAGGAAGACTTGTTACAGTTGGCTCGTTGGACGAAATTATGTTACAAGTGTGTCTCTCCTTGCTGCACCGCAGCATGTTTTGACCTGGAACTGGATGTGCAATGAGCCATGAGCGCCCCTAAGAGTTGACCCGCCAATATTTTGTAGAGTACGTACCGCATGCTTGGCGAACCGATGCGTGCATGCATTGCAATGTATTTCACACGAAGGCAGCTCCTGATTTCCAAATATTCTTCGCACAAGGAAAAGTACCCTCCAGGCCATCCTTCCAAAGTACATGGACCATTGGGACAAAGACAAAGAGCAAGAGGATGCCAACAAGGGAGATTGCGCGGAAGTTGCTCGGGGCATACTTCACTACATCCACAATCACAATGAAAACCACAATCTGGAAAGACAAGCGCTATCACTTTCGCTGACTTTGCACTCCGAAGTGGAAGGGCCAATAGGATTCGACTTGTTGGGGGTCCTACCAGTGGCATATGGTCAGTGCAAGGCATATGGCATGTCAAATCCTTTGTCTGTTGCACAGCCAGGGTTCTAAATTGCCACGTCCTTTTGGCCTACCACTGGCGGCAGAAACTCAACGTACCCATGGCTCCAATTGAGACAGGGCCCATGTGGCAAAGCCAACAAAAGGTTGCATTGAGTTGTTGGAGAGGTGTTTGCGCTAAACACACTGCATCGTCCACTGAAGAGCCTCCGCAGATTGAAATGTGTCTCTTGCTGTTTGTTACAGATGTGGTTGACCAAACCGCTGAGGCAAGCAATATTTTGTTGCAGACAGCATTAGGTTGTGTGAATCTACCACTGGCACCTTGCAACTTTGGGACGCAGGGCCCCATTTGCGAAGCGCAGAGAATTTACTTTGCTGCTAGAGTCTTGCCAGCAGCAACCCGAAAGCAAAACATCAGCATCGGATTCCTGGCTGAGCAACACGGCAAGAATGGACTGGTGCGCTCAAGACTGGCTGGCTGGGTCGGCTTTTGCTCCGGCATCCGAAGTGGGAGTGAAAGAGCGGACTCGCAAAGACCTTGCTGGACAAAAATGGATTGCGAAGAAGGTGTGCTACCCTGAAAAGAAAGCAGCAATCCAAAACTTCTATTGTACAAAATCTGTCAAGATCACTCGTACTTATGCTTGGATGCTGAGCCGTATCGGGGAAATGGTAATATCCCACCTTTGGAACGTCAAAACCCTTTCAAAAGAGAACTCTGAAGCATGGAGGAAAGCGTGCTACGAAGGGACATGGGTCTGGGAGTCCCAAAAGAACTGCCCACCCCAAGAAAAACCTTGCCTACCACAAATTCTGCACAGAGGCTGGCCGCCCCTAAAGAACTTTTAGGGCCAAGAAGCATGCTAGATTTCAGCGGGCACAGCAGCGGCTGCAACGAATTCGGTGCGGTGTAGATGGTTCCGAGGATCAGGATTCTTCTGGTTCCACCCATAGTACAGTTTCTAACACTGATTCCAGTTCAGACAGCTGACAAAGAGAGACCGCCTCTTGGAATTGCGATGGTTTGTCATTGGGATCAGGATTTTATGACGGTTGTTTGACTCACATCTCCTTTGACTTGCCAACACCTCCTTTGGTTCTTTGGAATTCTTTGAGAAATCAAGCCCTTCACTCTGCTGATTTTTTGAACTGTAATCTTTGTTACCAAAGCCTCAATACGCTCAATAGAGAGTTGATTAAAGATGTGCAAAGAATTCTTTACTGGCTAGAGATTGCTAGAACTTGCAATCTAGAAAATACCCATTCACAGCTGTTCTTCAAGAATCCCCATTCAGTCCATCAAACCGTTGATCCCTTGGTGTAAGTGTGTTCTGGATGACCCTCTCAAGACCTCCGCACGCTTCTGTGTCCTTTCCCAAGACCCACGCAGTGGCTGAGGCTTTCGCGGAACAGGTATCTCAAGGCTCGCGCAAGCCAAGCCGAGGTGTCGAGTCTTTGATGTTGGGATGGACTGGGATTGACTGGGCTCGATTCGTGCATACCGAAAATGTCGGCTTTGCGCCGATAGTTTGGGGACTTGGGAGTGCAGTTTCAGGTGCTGATGATGTTCAATATCCGGAGGAGCACACCGCTGATGTGAAAGGTGAAGATTCGGGACATGGATGAATCTTACCAACATGGTGGAATGGTTTCTGCATCGGACGTTTTCCCTTGGATGTCAGGTTGGTCCAAAGGTGGTTTACACGTCAAACGGCAATGATTATGAAGAGATTGGATGGTTGCATGTTCATCCATGAAGTTTATCTTCAGAAGATGAAAAA